ACACCAGTGAAAATCATTACACAATTTTAGAGCACCAATCATATCCTTGCATGAAGAAAAAAAAGGGAAACCGCCCAGACATTCTCCTCCTCACAGGTTGTTACGGGACACTGAAAAAGGTCACACCACAGGAAAACTACATTTTCCACACCAGTGAGCTACAGAGGGTATTGTTACATATCAGTGCATTTTTTCTTTGGTTGGAGAAGTAAATGAAAGGCCCATACTGTTCCACAACAACTTTAATGAGCTGTCCATAGGGTTTCTGTGCTGAAAAAAAAATTGATCACTTACTCTTTCACATGTAAAAAAAAGTAAAAAGTATGTGCATTTTCACTTTAAGGACACTGTTAAGATGATGAATATAAAAAATGATCACATCTCAATCACAGCCACATCCTATAGTTGACAATATGCATAAAACTACTGACAACTATGACCCTTGTGATACAGTTATACCAATCAAGCTACCACTTAACTCAAATCTGTATAAATGACTAGACACAATTAAAATGGAAATAACAAGCACCCAAATGTACCACTATAAATCATAGATAAATGTGAGGTTTTTATCATTTCCTCTAATTCTGATTCCTGTATGCTTATTATGTATTCCAGCAAACAGCTTGTAAACAGTAATCCCTGAAAATATACTGAAATGCTATTCTTAAAACAAGCTACAGTTTTCAATCCTGCAAAATTTGAAATGAAAATGTGCAAGTTAACTGTTTGCATAACTTGATAAGAGGGTTGGTCTAAGAGTCCAATTTGCAATCTATCAAACTGATTGACTTGGCAAGAGCTTCATGTTTAACATGCCACTCAGTGTGTGAGACATTTTTTTTTCAAAACTTAGCTGAATACAGACACATCATTTACACACTATCTTGTACCAGGTCAATATTTGTAATGAACTAATCCAATTTGTTAATAAAAATCACCATCACCATATATGCATTTGCATCTTTACAACTGTATATATACTGTATCATTATAATATGCAATGTATCTCATACTTTATTCAGAAGGGCAGATAATAACATACATCTGAGGAACATTTTACACACACCCAAACATGCTGGCACACAGAATGCATCAATCAGTATTTCTACATAGGCAGCATGACATGTAGGCGTGAGTGACAAACAAATCGGAACTGCCATCAGTTATTGTGGAAGTGAAAATGCCAATCAGGAGATAATGATGCTTTTCATCTAGACCTTTTATTACTCAATGTGTGTTGTGCAACTTGCACCTATATGCACATAAGCACACACATATATACTCCTACCCATTCTAAGCTGACGGTAGCCGAGTATTACTTGACCAACACTGACGATCAATTCCAACTTGGATGAAATGAGTACATATATTGCTTGATTTGCTGAAAAAAATCATGTATTTGGCTTTCACAAAAAGTCACTTTTCTCCTATTGAAAAATCGAGGACCTGTCATTTTTGGGTCTTATTTAAAGGGATAATAACTCTTCGTAATCTATATTTCACAATAAAAACCTTGTGAATAACTCATAGAAATATAATATATTCTGTTTTACCACAAAAAACAGCAGTTATAGCTTTTATTCTGATATCTGAACTTGTCTTTAGACCACTTTACCTCCACTGATGTCTATACTTTTTCAAACTTTTTAGAAAAAAACCAGGGACTGACTTTGAATGTAAAAATGGATTCATTAACCATTGGTAAGTATGGGAAAATTGTTGTTTACTCCAGGAAAATTCATTTTTTGGCCGAAACAAAGAGTTATTATTGCTTTAAGCAAACAGAATTCCTGACATACACAATGATGCTCATTCAAAAATAATCGCAGCCCCCACTCTCCATGTACACACCTTCTTGGTTTCTCCAGGCCAAGTGACAGATTTCTCCACCCCCACCTCTTGTCTCTCTCCTTAATAATATTCTCAAGCTCTGCCAGTGAAGTATACCTGTTGACAGGACAATACATAATTTCCACCCACCCATATCATGCAGGCATAATGACACACAAACACAGATGTGTGCTCTAATTAACTAGAATGCATTCAACACATCTCCTTTGGCTTTTAATTAAAGAATTAGATATTTATGTACTCATGAAAAAAATGGACTCAAATCCAAATCACTAATCATAAATAAAAAAAAACCTTAATCTTAGGAACAATAATTAGTTTCAGTTTCATTTATTCTCATCATTGTTCTCTTTTCAATGAGCTTTGCCAAAATGGTCACGATTTTAAGGTACACCTGCCTCTGAGCAATTTAAAGCAATTCACCAAGTGTGTGAATCTGCACATTGCTGTCTAAAGACGTGACAGCATTTGATTCATGCCAATACACACATAAATAGCACAGACACTGTTTCAAGACACTATGACACTAGTAGTAATCATAACTATCACCTGTATAAACTGAAACTCAAGAAAAAAAGATAGTTGCAAATGACACCATTCTCAGAAAACTTCTATCAAACAAATCTTTTAAAAATATCCTGTTGTTATTCAAATGGGAGTGGAACGAATTAATAACATCCTGGTTATGACTTGCATTTTTTTTTTTGTTTTGTTGTTGTTGTTTTAGACAATATATCTTTGACTAGCCACAAAGTAAATTATATACCTATAGCAGAAAAAAAAGATGACAGCAATCCCAGTAAAATTTCAATAAGAACTCACATTGCTTTAACTAGGCCAAGTCTTCCCAGAACATCACAAAGAGAACTTTAAGGGACAAAGTTGAATAAATAAATACATTCCTTTTCAATCATTCTGTTTGTTGACATAACAAATTTAAAGAGACAGGTTCTTATCAGTGTCTTGCTTCAGTTCAAAAAGCAAAATTTGAAAGCTAAATCAAAAATGGCAGTCCAGGAAATGCAATTAAAAACATAACTGCTAATTTTTTTATCAAAGCTGAAATTTGGTTTGTTTTTTTCATATATACAGTCTGAAATATTGGAAATTTGTTAAAATCATCATTTGCAGATGAAAAAAAAACAGTTAAAGTGAGAAAAGTATAACTTAACATTGGAAGAATAGAACTCCAACAGGTGGTCAATCTCACTCCACATGTTCTTCAAGTTGGTAATGAATACTTCAACCATATTTTATATTGTCTTTATCAACTGGATTGAAAAAAGTGTTTTCTTAAATCCTATGTCACGATAACCTGTAGCCAGCCAAGAAATCTAGCTGCAACATGAGCTGATATAAGCACTGGATAGGAATTACGGTCATTAGTTTTCAAGCTAAAATAAAAACATCCTCTCTGCGAAAATGTATCAATACATAAACAAGTTCATTTGAAGCCAAGCATTTCTTTTTTTT